TGCTGCTCTTACCTGTCAACAAACGCTCCTTCACCTCCACGTCTGGCGGTGTAGGACCAGCACATCATACACAGCAGCACAGCCCTGTAGTCGGTATTTAAAATTCAACTCGCAAACTGTGATCACTCCTTGTTCAGAGCGGTCACCTGACCAACGAGTAACGCTTTTCATGGGTCAGGGGACCGTGCTTGAGGGGGCAGATTGTTGGCGGTCATTCCAGTTTCCCAAACTCGCCTGGGAAAGTGGAATTACACTTGAAGTCCGGTTCACACTATAGCGGTGACCTGTGTTTTTTTGTTTTTTTTCTGTACAGGAAACACGCAGGTCACCACTAGGGCTCATTGAAAACAATTGTTTTTGGGGGTGTTTTTGCAGGGGGTTGTTAAAAAATTATCATCTTTCAAGTTTTATTATCATTTATTTTTGCTATTTTAAACCCAAATCCAGCATTTATTTTCTCTTCCCTTGCAGTGAATTGGCAATAAACGAGTGATTATATAAATCATGGCCATACCTTTTGTTGAGGACTGGGATCTGGTGCAGACACTAGGAGAGGGAGCTTACGGAGAGTAAGTATTACAGGAAGCTGGCTTACTTTTGGATTCTTTAGTAGATTTACTGTATATTGCAACTGCCCCTGAAACGGAATGCATTAGACTCTCCAACGTATAAACATATATAGGAGGTTAGCCCTTTTTTTTTTTTTCCTTAATGAGCAGCCTATTGATTGAATTATTTTCCGGTCAGGGTACAGCTGGCTGTGAACCGGAAGACTGAGGAGGCGGTGGCCGTGAAGATTGTGGATATGAAACGAGCAGCAGATTGCCCAGAAAACATAAAGAAAGAGATATGTATCAATAAAATGCTCACCCATGCCAATATTGTCAAGTTCTTCGGGCACCGCAAAGAAGGCAACGTTCAGTATCTGTTCCTGGAGTACTGCAGGGGAGGCGAACTCTTCGATAGAATTGGTAGGTGATCATTTAATTTGTTTGTTATGCAGAGCTCACTGTGAAGAGAACACTGCTGAAATAATATCAATCGGTATCTTATGTGTACATGGTTGTGATATGTAGGTGGAAAAATGGAACACTACTGTTCTGTTATGTGTAGCACAGCTGTGTGTATATTTGTGTACATTATCACGCTTGATTTTATTGGCTAGGAAAGGGTTGTCCTGGGGGGGGGGTAATCAGACACTGATTTGATGGGTATGCAGATGCAGGTATG